GCGTCGGCCGCGCGCGCACATGTCGAAGTCCTTCCAAAACTTTCCTCAGCGACGAGTGGACACCATCATCGTCATCGGCGTGATCAGAATCGGCACCATCATTGGCCTTGCCGTCGTCATCGCCATCGTCGTCACCAGCATCGCTGCAGTCATCGTCGTGTTTGCCGTTGTCGACGTCGCCATGATATCGCGCCCGCTCGAGCTCGCACTGAAGTGCCCGCGCGTCAGCGCGGCCTGTGAGACGCGCTGGGAGGTCTCCAGCGGTCAGCGCCACCGCGGCCGTGTCGGTCGCGCCAGACCAGCTGGCCGCTCTGCGCGCGAGCCTGCGCGCTAGCGCGGCCGCAGCGATGCGCCAGCCAGCGCCAGGCAGGCATCGCAATTGCCGCCTCATGGGTTGTCCAAACCATGTTGCGGCTGGGTGGGTGGGATATTGCGCGAGCAGGCGAACAAACATTGATTGCACCACATAGATTGCGCAACACGTATTGCACAACATGTTGCCCCACATAGGTTGCACGGCATGTATTGCAAAACACAGTTTGCAGAGCATAGTTTGCAACACACTCATTGCACAACATTGGTTGCAACACATGTATTGCACCACGTCGATTGCAACGCATAGATTGCGCACCACATAGATTGCACCAAATAGATTAGACAACCTACGTGCGTGTATATATAGAGATTGCACAACATCGCATGCTCCGTATATATTTTACGGCATATATTGCACAACACATATTGCACCACAGCGATTGCTAGAAACACACCGTATGGGTTCCACGCTGGCGAACACATTTATGTATACATACGTGTGAGAGAGCGCGCCCACAGCGCCGGAGCAAAGGGCGGGCAGGGCCCCCCCTGAGCTACCCCCCCCCTCCCTTCCACCTCCCCTGCTGGAAGCTCCCCCACCCTATCCCCCTTTTTCGCCTCCCCCTGAAGCTATCCCCCCCTCCCCCCCTTTCGCCACTCCGAAGCTACCACCCCCTTCCCCCCTTTCCAAAAGGAAGGGGGGCTTAGCTACCCCCCCCCTCCCCTTGACCCCCCTCTGCAGTTTTCCCCCTTTGGGGGGGGGGGGGCCACACCCCCCTCCCAGAAAACTACCCCCCCCATCCCCCCCTTACGAAAGGGGAGGGGAACTTAGCTACCCCCCCCTCCTTTGACCCCCCTCAGCCGGAAGCCCCCCCCCTTCCCTCCATTTTTCTCCTCCCTTCCGGAAACTCCCCTCCCCTCCCCCCTTTTCCAAAAGGGGAGGGGCGGCTTAGCTACCACCCCCTTCCCTTGAACTCGCCCTGCCGGACGATCCTCCCCCGTCGCCGTCGTCGTTGCCATCGCCGTCGCTCGACGTCTTCGTACGACGCCGTCGTCGTCCTCGTCGTCGTCGTCGCCGCCGTCGCCGTCATTGCCGCCGTCTTCGTATGATCTCGTCGTGGTCGTCACGACGAGGACGAGGTCATACGAAGACGGCGACGGACGACGGACGACGCACGACCGACGACCGACGACCGACGACGACGACGACCCAGGGTCAGAGAATCGAGACCACGACCCAGGGGCTGAGAAAACGAGACAATGAACCAGGGTCCGAGAAAACGAGATAACCATCCAGGGGCCGAGAACACGAGAAAACAAGAAAACGAACCAAGGTCCGAGCAAACGAGACCACAACCCAGGCCGAGAAAACACGAACATCGGTCCGAGAAAACGAGACCACGATCCAGTGGCCGAGAAAGCGAGAAAATTAGAAAACGAACCAGGGTCCGAGAAAACGAGACTACGACCCAGGGGCCAATAAAACGAGGAAGCGAGAAAACGAACCAGGGTCCGAGAAAAAAGACCACGACCCAGGGGCCGACAAAACAAGAAAACGAGAAAACAAACCAGGGTCCGAAAAAACTGGACCACGACCCAAGGGCCGAGAAAACAAGAAACGAGAACACGAACCCGGGTCAGAGAAAACGAGACCACGACCCAGGGGCAGAGACGAGAAAACGAGAAAACGAGACCAGGGTCCGAGAGAGCGAGACCACGACCCAGGGGCTGACGGCCAAGAAAACGAGACCACGACCAAGGGGCAGAGAAAACGCGCAAACGAAAAAAACAAAACAGGGCCCGAGAAACCTGGACCACGACCCAGGGGCCGAGAAAACAAGAAAACGAGAAAACGAACCAGGGTCAGAGAAAACAAGACCACGACCCAGGGTCAAAGAAAACGGGACCACGATCCAGGAGCTGAGAACACAAACAAAAAAAACAACCAGGGTCAGAGAAAACAAGAAAACGACCCAGGAGCCGAGAAAACGAGAAAACGGGAAAACTAACCTGGGTCCGAGGAAACATGAGACCACGATCCAGGGGGCGATAAAACAAGAAGTAGAAAACGAATCAGGGTCAGAGAAAACGAGACCACGACCCAGGGGCTGAGAAAACGAGAAAACGAGAAAACTAAACGGCCAAGAAAACGAGACCACGACCAAGAGGCAAAGAAAACGCGAAAACGAGAAAACGACTCAGGGGCCGAGAAAACCAGGAAACGTAAAACGAACCAGGGTCAGGAAAAAACGAGACTGTAACCCGGGGGCCGACAAAACAAGAAAACGAGAAAACGAACCAGGGCCCGAGAAAACGAAACCACGACCCAGGGGGCGAGAAAACGAGAAAACGAAAAAACGAACCAGGGACAACGAAAACAAAACCACAATCCAAGGGCCGAGAAACGGAGAACACGAGAAACCGAACCAGGGTCAGAGAAAACGGGACCACGATCCAGGAGCCGAGAAAACAAAAAACGAACCAGGGTCAGAGAAAACTGGAAAACAACCCAGGAGCCGAAAAAACGAGAAACCCAGATAACTAACCAGCGTCAGAGGAAACATGAGACCACGACCCAGGGTCCGAGAAGACGAGAAAACGAGACCAAGAACCAGGGCCAGAGAAAACGACACACAAACACCCAGAAGCCGAGAAAACAAGAAAAAATGACAACGCACCAGGGTCCGAGAAAACGAAACCACGACCCAGGGCCCGAGTACACTAGAAAACGAAACAACGAACCAAGGCCCGAGAAAACGAGACCACGACCCAAAGGCACAGAAAACGCGAAAACGAACCAGGGTCCGAGAAAACGAAACCACGACCCAGGGGCCCAGAAAACGAGCAAACGATAAAAAGGAATCGGAGCCCGAGAAAACGAGGCTACCAACCAGGGGCCGAGAAAACGAGAAAACGAGAAAACGAACCAGGGTCAGAGAAACGACACCACGACCCAGGGGCCGAGAAAACAAAAAAAACGAGAAAACGAACCAGACCCGAGAAAACGAGACCGCGACCCATGGGCCGAGGAAACGGGAAAACGCGAAAACGACCCACGACCCAGGTGCCAAGAAATCGTGAAAACGCCAAAACGACCCACGACCCAGGGGCCGAGAAAACGAGAAAACGAGAAAACGAAACAGGGTCCGACGAAACCGCGACCCAAGGGCGGAGATCACCAGAAAACGCGGTTCGAGAAAACGAGACGACGACCCAGGAGCCGAGAAAACGAGGAAACGAGAAAACGAAGAAGGGTCAGAGAAAACGAAATAACGACCCAGGGACCGAGACAACGAGACAACGAGAATACTAAGCAGCGTCCGAGAAAACAAAACCACGACCCAGGGTCCGATAAAACGAGACCACGACCCAGGGGCCGAGAACACGAGAAAACGATAACACGAACCAGGGTCAGAGAAAACGAGACCGCGACCCAGGGGCCGAAAACACTAGAAAAAAAGAAAACAGACCAGGGGCCGAGAAAACGAAAAAACAATAAAAGGAATGAGGGCCCGAGAAAACGAGACTACGAACCAGGGGCCGAGAAAACAAGAGAACAAGAAACGAACCAGGGGTCGACGTTATTCTGCAATGCGTTCTCTAGCGCTGCGGTGCGCACCTGTCTGCAGGGATTCAGCCATTTTGCCATAACCCCGGAAGGGAGGGGGGGGTAGCTTCGGAAGCCCCCCCCCCGTTGCAAAAGAGGGTGGAGGGGGGTAGCTTGAAGCCGCCCCCCCCGTGTACAGACCAAAAATAAAGGAGGGGGGGGTAGCTTCCGAAGCACCCCCCCTTTGAAAGGGAAGCCTGGGCTCACCTTCTGCTCCGGAAATGGGAGGGAGGGGGGGATAGCTTCGAAGCCCCCCCCTTTAGCCAGGGTCCCCCTAGCTTAGAAACCCTTACAGAAGGGAGGGGGGGTAGCTTCGGAAGCTCCCCCCCCTTTTAGAAGGGAGGGGGGGGTACCTTGAAACTGGGGTCCACCTTTCCTTATTCCCAGCGCTGCGTGTGCGCTCTCTCATACGTGTACATTTAGGACTGCGACAACAATAAGGAGGAGTTGAGAGGGAGAAGCGGGGCCCAAAGGTGCAGACGGAATACGTCGAAGGAGAAATGGAATGGAATGAAACGGAGGGGAGTGGAACGAAAGAGGAGGAGAAGGAGGAGGCGGAGGCGGATCATCCTCACCCACCCCCGGTTCCACTTCCTCCTCCTCCTCCTCCTCCTCTTCCTCTTCCTCCTCCTCGTCCTCCTCCGCCATCCCCCCCGAGGGGCCCCCCAGGGTTGGATAGAAAATCCTCCGAAATACCCCCAGGCGGCCTCAGACATCCTCCGATCTGATTTTTCCAATCTGGCTCGAAGCTCCCCGACCCTGTCAGTTTTTGTTAACTCCAGACCCCTTTTTTGATTGCCCCCTGGAGGCCGAGATCGACGAAAAACGGCAGGAATGAAAAGAACATCTCGTCCGAGATTCCGAAGGACCCCTGGGCGGGAGGAGGAAGAGGAGGAGGAGGAGGAGGAGGAGAAGGAGGAGGAGGAGGAAGAGGAAGAGGAGGAGGAGGAGAAGGAGGAGGAGGAGGGGACGGGAGGGGGGGGGGGGGGGCCAGGAGGGAGAGAGGGAGGGACCTCGGCCGGCTGCCTCCGGAGGGCCCCTGGAGGGCCCCACGCGCGCCAGCCCGCCCGCCGCCCGCCTTGCGCATCGAGGGCGGCACCGACGGCACCGGCGGCCTTCGCGCCCCGCCAACGCGGCGCAGCAGCACTCTTGTCGTCGTCGTCGTCGTCCTCCTCCTCCGCCTCCTCCTCCTCCTTCTCCTCCTCCTCCCTCCTCCTCCTCCTCCTCCCACCTCCCTCCTCCTCCTCCTCCTCCTCCTCCTCCTCCTCCTCTCCTCCTCCTCCTCCTCCTCCTCCCACCTCCTCCTCCCACCTCCTCCTCCTCCTCCTCCTCCTCCTCCTCCTCGGCTTCCTCCTCCTCCTACATTATCCTACATTATCCTCCACCTCCTCCAACTCCTCCTCATCATCCTCCCTCATCCTTCCCACTTCCTCTCCTCGGCATCATTACGATGGTAATCCTCATCATGATCATCATGGTCATCGCCCTTGAAAGCAGAATCATCCTCATGGTGATTCCCCTCGATATCAGTAAAATTATCATCGACATCGTCATTATCATCGTCGCCATCATCAATGTCACCATCGTAACCACCATCATCACCATCCATTTCACCGTCGTCGACATCATCAACATCATCATCGTCACCATCGCCATCTTCCCTTCTCTAATACTATCCTCCTCACTCCTCCTCCTCGATCCTCCTCACTCCTCCTCCTCATCATGATCCTGATCCTCCGCATGATCTCCCTCCTTCTCCTCGTCATCGGCACGTGGAGGCCGAGGCCCGACTCGGGCTCGTCTGCAAATGCGGCCACCATCATTGTGCCGTCGTCGTCTTACAACGTGCCTCCTTTATCACCATTGTGATTGTCCGTTTCATCCTTCCCTTGCCCACCTCATCCCTCTCATCCTCCTCGTATTCATCATCAGATTCCTCCTCCTTCTCATCCTTCTCCTCCTCATCGTCACCACCACTATCATCAACGCAGCATTCATAAGCGTCACCGTCATTAGCATCAACAACAACAACCCCATCAGTAACGACAACATAAGCAACAGCAACAACAATAATAACAACAACCATAACAGCAGCAACAACAACAACAACCACAACAACAACAGCAGCAGCAGCAACAACAACAACGCCAGCAACACCAGCCGCAACAACAACGCCAGCAGCAACAACAACAACGGCAACAACAACAACGCCAACGATAACAGCAACAACAACAATAACAACAGCAAGAATCGCAAGACTGCTCGCTCTGATGCGCTCGCGTGCCATGCAACACGTACATCCCGAATCTCGATACCCGCCCCCTTCGTCTTCGATCGTACACCCTGGGGGGTAGACCTTTCTTGTCTGCAACGTGTCTTCATGCAGCCCCTACAGCAGGGGAAGAGAGCACAGATTGAAGGAAGGGACACGGGGGAGGGAGGAGGATGGAGCAGGAGAGGGAGCAGCAGGAGGGGGGCTAGGAGCAGAAAACACGTGGCAGAACCAGATGGGCAGATCGGGCGGGTAGACCCTAACGGACGTGTCGAGAAGGCGGGCCCAGCGGCCAGGTCGAGCAGGCGGGTTGCTGAAGCGTGCGTCCTGCATGAATCGCGAGAAAATCTCGAGCGATAGCGCGATTCCCAAGCAAATCGTGAGGAAATCCGCAGCGAGAGCGTGGTTCCTGAGTGTTGGGGGGGGCGACTGACTAATTTGTGGGGAAGACCCATGCGAGAGCGCGATTCCTGCATAAGTTGTGAAGATGTCCCGCGCGAGAGCGGGATGTTTCATTACATTGTGAGGGTATCAAGCGGGAGCCGTTGTTGTTGTAACTCGGGGGCTAGAGGCCCAGTCTGGTGACCCCTCACCTTCCCTTGGAAGAGACAGGGTGCGAGCCCTGGGAGGAGCACTTGAATAAAAAACAGCATGTGCCCCGGAGGGTGGGCATCAACAACCATTATTCTTCACAAGTGAGAGATCAAAAACAAAAGCATCAGCTATATCATCAAGACCATCATCATAATCAGTACCAGCAGCATCATCGGCATCATCATCATCATCATCATCATCATCATCATCATCATCATCATCATCATCATCATCATCATCATCATCATCATCATCCTCATCCTCATCCTCATCCTCATCATCCTCATCATCATCAGCAGCAACGTCATCATTCATCATCATCGTCATCATCAACCACCACCATCATTATCAGCATCAACAGCGTCAACAACAATAACAACAATAACATCGCTAGCAGAATCGTCATGGACATCACCATAAGCATCAACAACATCACCATCATTATCATCAGCATCAGCATCATCATTATCAGTACCCTCACCAACGTCATCATCAACAACCTTATCACCATCATCATCATCATCATCATCATCATCATCATCATCATCATCATCCCCAGCACCATCGTGACCATCATCATCAGCATCGTCATTATCATCACCTTCATCCTCATCACCATCACCATCACCATCACCATCACAGTCATCATCATCATCAGTAGCAACATCATCATCAGCATTATCATCAGCAGCATCATCAGTATCATCATCATCATCATCATCATCATCATCATCATCATCATCATCATCATCATCATCATGATCCTCATCATCATCATCATCATCATCATCATCATCATCATCATCATCATCATCATCATCATCATCATCATCATCATCATCATCATCATCATCATCATCGCCAGCACCATCGTCACCATCAGCATCAGCATCGCCATCATGATCATCACCATCATCTTCATCCTCGTCACCATCACCAGCATCATCACCACCACCACCACCGTCGTCGTCATCCTTCCCATCCCCCCCCAACCTCCCCACCCCCACCCCTCCCTCCTCTTACCCCCCCTCCCCTCTCCCCCATCATCCCCCCCCCTACATGCTCGCCCCCCCCTTCCGCCCCCCTTCGCCCCGCTGGGCTGCGCGCGGCCTGGCCGGCGGTGGCGACGCGGGCGGCGGCGCCGCCGCTTTCGGCGCCGCGCCCGCCACCTGGGGCGCCGCACCGCGGCAGGGCGGCAGCGGAGAGGGGACGGCGTGGGTGCTCGTCGTCCTCGTCGTCCACGTTCTCGTCGTCGTCGTCATCATCGTCGTCGGTCTCGCTGTCTTCATGCTCGTCGTCGTCGTGTTCGTCGTCGTCGTAGTGGTCGTCGTCGTCCTCCTCGTCATCGTCCTCGTCGTCGTCGTCGTGCTCGTCGTCGTCGTCGTCGTGGTCGTCGTCGTCGTACTCCTCCTCCTCCTCGTCGTCGTCGTCGCGCGCGGGTGTCCCTGGCCGAAGGTCCCAGGATTTCCAGGGAGGCCCCGACGGCCTCCAGGAGCACCCCTCGCGAGGCCCGCAGGTCCCCAGAGGGGCTCCAGAATGGGGCAAGAAGCTGAGGGGCCACCTCGGACCAGGGACACCTCACGGCAGCCCCCGAAGGAGTGGCGGTGCAAGGGCGTGCGCCCTGGAGTGGGGGGGGGGCCGAGACACCCCACGCCATGATGTCTCCATATCATCAGCCCCCAAAATCTCGACTCGTTCCCCAGGACCAGTTTTTCACTCCGAGTCGTTTATGACGGCCCCGAGGCCCGGTAAGGTCCCCCAAAGGCTGAAAATAGCGAAGCACCGTCTGCCGTGATTTTTCCATGACTCGAGGGGGTCTGGGGGCGGGGGGGGGCGGGGCAGCAGTGCCCCAGCAGCGCCCCGGCCGATAAGGGGCGGCAGAGGGACAGGCGTTGCGCAACGGGGGGGCGACACCTGAGGGGGTGGAGAAGGAAAAGTGCACCCTCTTGTGCCCTGAAGGGGCCCAGGAAGGACCCCCCTGAGGCCCAAAAGGAAAAGCACACGAAAGGTGCACGTTTCTCCCCCCCTTTCGAGTAGGAGATCGACTACATAATTGATGTACCCCAAATTTGTTTTGCCGCGTCTACGGGGGGGGGGAAACTAAAAAAAAGTATGATGCTCTGTATATCTACTAAACACATGCGCGTTATTCGCAGATTCTAAGAAAAAACTCGTAGACATCAATTATGGAATCGATCTCCTACGGTCGAAATGCTGTCATACGGAACCCTAAATCCCTAAATAAGGAACGAGGCTCCTTGTTTCCATTAGTTAAACTTCGATTGCCTACAGAAATAAGAAACCTAAGGAAAACCTGAGACAAACAGTAAAACAATCAAGGAATACTGAGCCCCTCCCCAACGATAGGGCTCCTTCTTCAGCGGCCCGACTGCACTCGGCACTTATATCGCCCCCCCCATGGAGCAACGCCCGAGAGGGGCGGAGAGAGGCAGCCCTCCAGGCAGCGTGCAAAAGGCAGCCACGGCACGACGGCACGGCGGCAGGCCTGGCCCGCGACCTGCCCCCCCCCCCCCCCCCCAAGGGCAGCGCCCTCGGCGCCAGCAGGGCCTCCAGAGGAAGACACGGGGGGGAGGGAGATGGGGGGGGGGGAGGCAAAGGGGAGGGGGGGAGGGCCCCGAGATCCTGGCGCTGCAATCGTTTCGCCGCGGGCGCCTACGCCACGTGTCGGACCCACGGGAGCCTCACAGATCGATGCCGCTCGAAACGTGGCGCAGAAGGATGGGGTCTGGGGCTCCAGTGGGGACACTTGGCGATGTTGCCTTCTCGTTGGAACGTCCGATCTGGGGGGGGAGTACGTGGGGGAAGGGAAGGGGAGGATGGGAGAGAGGAGACGAGGAAAGTGGGGAGAGGTGCCCCTGGGGGTCTCTGGAGGCCCAGGCGAAGCCCAAGACTCCCAGAACCCCAATCCTCGAGCCTCGAGGACCGAGGAGGGAGAGGGACAAAAAAGAGCAAGAAAAACGTCATGGAACAGAACTTCCGGAGGTCCGCGCAAATTTCTTGGGTCCGCGCTGGACACCCTTCCTCCCAATCTCCGGAGGCGCCTCCGGCGCCGCCCGCAGCGTGCTCCGCGCGCCAGACAAGAGATGCGGGGAGGGAGGGCCAAGCGCCGCCCCAGAAAGCTGCACGGACCTCCCGAAAGCTTCGAGGAGAGAGCGCACTTCAAGTTCGCTCGCTTCGAAAATTCCCAAGGGGGGGTCTCGAAACGGGCGGACGCTCCCCCCTCTTGAAAAAATCTAGGCGCCCCCTCCGAAACGGGGGACACCCCCTCCCCTGCAACCCCCTCTCATCCAAACCCACCCCCCACTCCTTGCGCAAGGGGGGTACGAACCCCCCCTCGGTACTCGTCGTCGTCGTTTGCCAGCGGCGATCAAGGGAGGGGGGCGCGGAGGGGGGTGTCCGGAACCACCCCTCCCTACTGCGCGGGGGGGAAGAGGTCCAGACCCCCCCCTCACCCCTTGCGCCAAGGGGGGGGGTCCGGAACCCCCCTGCCCACTTGGAGGTGGGGCGGGGGGAAGGCCCCCCACCCCCCCTGCCCAAGCGCCCGTGGAAAGCGTTCCAGGCCTCGGAAAAAACAGTGAACACTCATGTCACATTCATCCGTGAACGCCTCCCCCATCCCCCCAGTGTTCAAGGCTGGCGGTGGGCCTGATGAGTTGCACCTCGACCGCAGTCTCCCCCGCGCGTGCCAGCTTTGAGTTTGGGGGGCAGGGGGGTGTTCACTAATTGTTTCCCTCCACCGTCTGCCTGATCGAGCGGGGTGGAGGAGGGAAGGGAGATCGGAGAGCCGCGCCTGGATGTCTACTCTCCTGACCCAGGGCAGCTTGCCGACCTGGGCGGGACGGGGGCAGCACAGCGGCCCCGCACCTCGACCCTGTCAGGCGCACATCCTCCCCGTTCGTGGACGAGGGGAGGTCGTCAAAGGCTTGGCGACTTCTGCTGCCCCTTGACTCGCACTGATCCTCCACGACTTATCCACATGTATCTGAGTAGCTCTGGGCTTACCTCGACTTACGCACCACCGCTGCCCAGGCTTGCGCACGAGTGGTCGCTGGTTGCATGCGCGGCGCTGAATGACAGCCAGCCGCGTCGCGCGAGAGGCCGTCCGCGACGTCGTTGGTTCGACGACGTGCAGCTCTGACAGCTTCTTGTTTTCTTGCTTTGTTTAAAAGCACTGTTCATGTCAATCCCCAAGCCCTGCACAGGGCCGACTTGTTCGACAGGGCGCAGCGTGGCGTAGCGTACCTCGACTTACATAGGTTTGCACCGGCAGACATGGACTGATATGAGTTCCACAAGTCGATTGGAGAAGGGAGGAGGGAAAATACCGAAGATTTTCTGGAGACTCTCTTGACCCTCCGGATGCCTCTGGAGGATTCCCAAAAGCTTCCTGGGAGGTCCTCAAAGACCCCAAGGCACACCTAAGGACCACAGAAGACAAGGAAGGGAAGGAAATGGGAGGAGCCGCAAACTCAGAACTGCAACGGATGAACGTCTTTCAGTCCGCGGACTCGGCGGGTTTCCGTTCCCGATTAGTGTCTGATGGCCGGGGATCCGAAAGCGGCCCGGAGGCCAAAGACTGCAGCGAGAACTCTCTGGAGGCCTCTCCCCTTCCCCCAAAATACCGACCTCTGGACCAAACCACGGTGACGTTCGGGGCAGACTTTCGAGGCGCATCCAGCCGTGGCGACAAAGAAGAGCGAGGAGGAGGG